AAATACAAGCTACCTACACTTGTCTGCAGTTTGCATAAGAAAAACAATTTTGCATCCCTGATTACAATTAGGATCTATCCTTAAAATGGAATGACTCCTCGGCTTCCTCTAAGGTAGCATTTCTTAATCCACATATTAAAATCTCTGGGGGGCGGGGCAGGGAGAGCAGGGCTTCAGAGATCATGATGTGCCCCTTGGGCAGTTGTCCCATTGAATTAGGACTCCCTGACTCCATCCTAAAGAGCATCTGCTGGAGAGCGAGTGTCGCCTGCATCCCTCACATCATCCTCACATCACCAAAGGGGCCTCCACAGGGTGATAATGCCAGTGTTGGTACTTCATGTCGAAGGACACAAGGGACACCTTTCACCTGGAGACTGCCTCTCCTTCGGTCCTGGCATGAGTCTCAAGCAAATTGCATGACCATTAGGTATCCTCACTCCAGCCAAGATGCATCAATCACCCAGAAGCTTCCATATTTAATGTTTTTAAGCTTTTGGTTTCCTAACAGTTTACAGAAGTCTTTTACATTAAGTACAGTTTTAAGGTGTAGTGGTCGAGAGGGCAGCCTATCAGAACACCAGGTGCTGGCTTCGTGAGCAAGCTAGTTAACTTTTCTAAGCTTAATTACCTCACATGCAAAATAGGACTACTCATAGCCCCACAGCACAGAGTGGTCCGAATTAAATGAGAGGTCACGTAGAGCATATTGCGTGGTGCGTGGAGCATAGTAAATAATAAATGTTAACTGGTACTGTCATTGGGTTAACTGTTATTCTGAGTGATTCTCAAAAAAAAAAAAAAAATCCAGTGAGGTGTGTACTGCATATGCTATTATCCCTGGTTTAATTTAAGAAAACCGAGGCTCAGAGCATGCTCTTCCCAGTATTTCTCTTCTCCCACACCCGCACCAAACACCCACACATGCACGCACACAGGCCACATTCTTTCATTGGTGGTCGATGTGAGGTAGGAAATACTCAAGGCCAATTGCCTTACATGTGATTCTAAAAAGAGACTCATGCTGGAAAGGCAGGTGTGTTCCAATAAGTGAGGAGAGGCAGAAGGTTCCAAGGTCACAGACAGATGCTGGGTTGAAGCATTTGAGCATTTGAGACAGGTGAGATAATAGAGGTAAAACTCCGTGAGTTTAAATTTATGCCTAATCGGGGTTAAGATCATGAGATCGCGGTTATACCGACTTAAAAGGACACTCCAGCTCTGTGGTTTGGGCTGGCATGTGTGACCTGAGTGCTTACAGTGACCTGTGCCCAGGATGGCTCGAGGAATCAGCTACGTCTCCATGGCCAGGCTGGCGTGGTAGCCCCAGGATGGGCCTCCTGCCACCACATCCTGTTCATCCCAGTGCTGGGGCTGATTCTCCCTCCTGCTGCCTGAGTGAGGGTCCAGCCAGCCTTCTTTGGCATCGCACAGCGCTCCAGTTATCTGTGGCTGCCTAATATACCACCCCAAAACTTGATGGCATAAAACAACACCCATTTTAGTGTATTTACGATTCTGAGACTGGAATTTGGGCAGAACACGGCAGTTCTGTTCTTCTTTGCTCAACACTATCCAGGGCCTCTGCTGGGGGGCGCTCAGATCACTGCAGATGCTGGGACAGCTGGGCTGGGGCCATTCGTCTGAGCCTGGGGTCCTCTCCATGTGGCATCTCCTGGAGCTCGAATGTCAAGGATGACTCCCTCACTCCATAACTGGAGCCTGAGCTGGGGGGTGGCTGCAACTGCATTTTCTCTCCAGGCAGCTTCTCCCCGTGGCCAGCTCGGACATCCTCGTAGCACAGTCATCTCAGGGTGGTCACACTTTTTACACATGGCTGGTTCCCCTCGCAATAAGTGTGGTACAGGAGACCCAGGTGGAAGCTGCAAGACTCCTTGCAATCTAATCGTAGAAATCCCAGCATGTCATTTCTGTTACGTTCTACTATCGAGAACGTCATTAAAACCAATCCTGATTCAAGGGGGTCAACAGGGAACACAGCATAGGGAGGGGTGAATTGACGGCAGCCATCCTGGAGCTACCACATACAGATAGAGTTGAGCACAGGAGTCCTGAGTCACAAATATTGGTTCCTATTTCAGCTTGGTAACTTTCTAGCTCTGTGATGTCAGGCAAGTTACTTAACCTCTCTGAGCCTCAATTTCCTTATCTATAAAGTGAGGATAATGATCCTCTACTGCAAATGGTTATGGTAAGACTTAAATGAGATACATTTAGTGCTTGGCACAAGACCTAACACCTATCGAGTCCTCACTTTATAGCAGGTGTGCTACCCATAGTAATAACTTAGTAGTGTTATTACTCCAGTTTGTCACTTGGCTCTCCATTCATTCAGCAAGCATCTCCTGCAGTGTGTCAGGCAGTTTCAAACACTAGCCTCCCCACAGCGCAAGTATAATATATTGAAAGTAGAGACGAGTTAGGCTTTCGGGTTTTTTGAGAGGCATCACTGGCTATTCAATGCCAGCCAGCATCGCTGGGGTCAGCAAGCCTGGCTCAAGGAAGGAAGCAAGGGCTTGTCACTTAAGCCTCTCTGATATTGCAGTGTTATCTTTGGCCTTGTCCCAGTAGAGTCTCCTGCTCCCACAATAACAACTCTCCTTCCATTTTAAATAGTTGGGCTGTGACTAAGGAGAGGCAGAAGAAAAGAACCATCCTGCCCTGTTTAAACATGTGTCTTCTGACAAGTGTCTGTGCCCCTCGGGGCCCTGGTGTGTTGGTAGCACAGCACTCAGGTGCAGAAGCCCCATCAGCTGATGTGTGTCTTACGCCCACGGGCTCTCCCTGACATCTAGAATCGATACCTCAAATATTGAAGTGACAAAGTATAAGAAAGGTAACAATGTCCAACTCCTTACTACACGTAATCATAAAAGGAGAACTCTGCAAAGCATTTTAAAATGAAATGGCAGGCAAGACTTCAAGGAGAACGCAAGCCAGACTAGGAGAGGCCACTTGGCAGGGAACCTCAGTCCCACATTCTGGTCTCTGTGTCTTATTTGAGCAGTTTTCTAACACCAGGAACTAATTAAAAATGAAGGGGCAGAGCTTTCAACCCAGTACCTTTCAAAACCTTTAGGCTTCTTATAATAGTCATGTGAAAAATCTCACTTGCTTAAATGAGCATCTTTGACTTTAAGACACTGGAGCTTTAAGTAAGTCTCACTTTCAGGAACTTGTTTTTAGGTTAATGATAAAGGAATTCACACTCATTAAGCTCCACTTTTTCAGCATCTAAAAGCTGCACAGTGTAGAATCACTGAATCTGTCAACTTTTTCTTAGTCCAGTTGCCCACTCGGAGCATAAAGATCTGCTACATATTCCTGACAGACGGACGTCAACCGTCTCCACGGTCATGATGACCAAGAGCCCACAAGTTCATGTGGAGACTGCAGAAGCCAGGAGCCCCAGTCCGCCTTCCAGAGGGGCCCCATTGTGCCCTGGGAGGCAAAGCTGACGATGACGTGAGTGCTGAGTGTAGGCAGTCGCAGGGCTCAGCCTTCTTTGTTCAGTGATGGCCAGAGCTGTCTGCCAGCCCTCCTCCACCATCATTTGTTGGTGCATTACTCACTTACTAGTCTGACTCATCCTCGGAGGCAAACATGAGCTCAGTGTTCATTGCAGGAAGTGCTCGGCTGTGTGAGGTTCATTGTCTCCAGCGAACATACATCTGCCTTGTGGGGCCATCATGTCTCAACAAGTAGCTGGAAGGAGGAGAAGACACATCCTCTGTCAAACTGACTCTCGTGCTCAGAGGCATTTTCCCATTTGGGTCTAAGACCATGTCAGTCAGTCATTGATCTGAAATCTGGTTGGTCTAGAAACCTGTGGGCCTCTCCCCCATATCCTCTGAAACCCATCCTGCATGTTTTGCTCTGTCTTCATCAAGTAGGATCAGTCCCGAACAGTTCGCCTCAGGATCATGGGGCTTAAGCTATTTCGTGTGCTTGACCAGAGTGGAGAGGGTCAGGGAGAGAGGGCAGAGGTGGACAGCCAGCGTGAGAATGCTCTTTCCATAGTTTTGAAAAACTACGAACAGACATTCTAGTGACATTCATCAGAATGAAAACTTGGGACAGATCACGCCTGCTGTCTGTGACCAGTAGGCATCCACCTTGAATGAAGGTGATGTTGTCAAGACCCCACCTCTTTGGGGTCAGACAGTGTCGTGTTTTCTCCGTGAGAGAAGACAGGGTGGAGCTCTGCTTGGAAAAGAAGGCAGAAATGAAGGTACATATCTGGAGAGGAGAAAAGAAAGCCAGAAGTCATCTCGAGGGGAGCGATTGAAGGTCTGAAGGCAACCTTTCTCCCAGGCGCTGCTTGGCACGGCATTCAGGCCTAACAGAATCTCCTGTCTCTTGCTGATTTGATGATAAAATATGGAGTGGACCCACAGGGAGAACAAACGCCTCAAGAAATAGATGGATAATTGGCTCTGTTTGCAGGCTCGCTGCTGTAACTGTGAGACACCACACCAGCATGACTAATGCCTCTCCCCTCTGCCGAAATTAGATTTTGATTGTGTTTCAGAGATATTCACTGAATCACAGATGTTTGAGGTAAAAAGACCCAAACTTCTGAAGAACACCTCCCGTGGAGTGTGTGGGATTGTTCTCACAGGCACGACTCCCAGGACTCAGCATCAGACCCAGAGTAACCCTTTCCCTCCCAAGGCCCAGGAAGCAAACCAGCCGCCCATGGGGGGCTCTGAATGGGGTGGACTCCTGGGCCAGGAAGTGGGGGCCCTGCTCCCCACGGGGATTCGGCTCCTTAATATGGCTACAAGCATGTCACATCAGTGACTCATGCTTTGTATAGACCCTAAGTTGGACCTGGAGTGTCCTGTTCTTCACAGGTTCCCACTGACTCACTGCCACATCCGCTGGTCCTCACTGGTTCAGCTTCCACAGGGTCCCTCAGCCACTGGACTCTGCGATCTGCAGGGTACGTAGTCAACGCTTTCTCGTTCCTCTTGCAGAACCTGGCCTACGAAATCATCCTAACACTGGGACAGGCATTTGAAGTCGCTTACCAGCTCGCACTACAAGCAAGAAAAGGGGGCCATTCCTCCACACTCCCAGAAAGCTTTGAAAACAAACCCTCCAAGCCCATCCCCAAGCCCCGCGTTAGCATTCGCAAGTCAGTGGTAAGTAGAAAAGACACAGAGGTTCTGAAAACTGTGAGCGGGCGGGAAAGGGGCTGCTCGCCGGGCCCCTGCGGGATGTGGGTGCCAGTGAGAATCCAGGGCCTGCCCTTCCTGCTCTTGTCTTTGGCCGCCTCCCAGCACATGTCCATCATCCTCTCAGCCCAGTGCCTGAAAAGCATGGGGGACCTTCTGCCTCTACCTGGAGGCTCCCAAGAACATTTCACTTTCTCTGTCACCTGTAGCAGCCCTGTGAGGGGGACTGTGTACTGCTACTGTCCTTGATGACTCTTTTCTGAAGGTCCCAGCTTGGGACCGACTATGCCCCCCGAGGCTTTGGCTGCCATCCCACCAGAGGGCAAAGCCTCTCACAAGCCCTCGGCCAGTAGAGAGTCTGGCAGAGGCTCATGGGAAGGCATCCCTGGGCCCAGCTAGAGAAAGCTGCATGCACAGGCTGTGGGAAGGCAGGAGCCAGGGCCCCGGTGCCTGGCCCCGCTGTGCCGTCTCCCAGCTGCCTGCCAGCTGCCTGCCGAGGCTTCCTACAGAGTGGTGACTGAGCCCAAGGTGCTGCCCCTCCTTTTCGTCATCTGCCTTCCTCCAGGAATTTCCTCCCACGAGCTCTGCAGACATCCTGTCTTAACAAACTTCCATGACTTCAAAGCGGCCTCCTCTGATAGCAGCAATACGCAAAAGCCGGAGCGTTCCCAGCCAGCCTCCCGTCTGGTTTCAGCTCGGGCCGCCTGCCATGTGGCATCCCAGAACCGCTGGGACTTGGGGCAGGCAGGCATCCCCCGGATGCAGCTCTTGGGCCCACATATCCTTCCATCTGTAACTCTCTCTTCCTCCCAGCCAACCCCTGTCCCCAGGGTCATGGGGGAGGTGTAGGATTTTTAATGTTTTCAGAGAGGCACCTTCCTTTGTGACCGTGTGGCTCCTTGTTGACAATCATCTCTTTGGCCTCTACCGTCACCATTCCTGGCAACTTCAGCATCCATGGGACCTCTCTGTTCCTTGCCGGCTCACTCCCGAGACCTTTCCTCCACCCCACCCCAGCTGTTCACACCCAAGTATGTCACCCCTCATCGCTGGTCATCACTAGTAACTGCACGTCCCCTGAAAATCTTTCCTTCAGACACCACGCCACTTCCCACCTGAGCACCTAACCAGCTCCGTTGGTTCCCAGTCCTGACGCACTCCCAGAACTCTAGACTTACATGTTCGAATTCTTCTTCGGGATTATTTAACAGATGTCTGAAACTTAGTATGTATGTCCAGAATAGAATTCTTGATTTTCCCCTCAAAGCTGTTCCTCGCTCTCTCGCTCGCTCGCTCTCTCTCTCTCTCTCTCTCTCTCTCTTTCTCTTTCTCTCTCTCTCTCTCTCTCTCCCTCCCTCTCTCTCTCTCTCTCTCAGTAAAGACATAACCATTCACCATGTTGTTCAAGCTATAATTCTAGAAGTCATTCTTAATTCCTGTCTTCCCTCAACCTTGTATCTGACCCATGAGCGGATTCCATCCACTCAACCCCTAAAACCTATCTCGGATCTGTCCACGCCTCTCCACTTCCTGTCACTCTTGTCATCTGAGCTTCCACCACTGCGGTAGTACACCTCCTAACAGACTCCCTTCCTCCACACAGCACCTGGGCATCTTCTCCAAACACATCAGTCATGGCACCACTGCCCCAAGCACCTGAAACCTAATTTCCCACCCCGCTCCTCTGACACCCAGGCCTTCCTGTTCCTGGAACAGACAAAGCTCACTCCTACCTGAGGCCTTTGTGCCACCCATCCCCTTCACCTGGCACAGTGATTTCTGCATAGAGGGTTCCAGCTTGTCATTCAGGTCTCAGGTACATGACAAGGCTTCTTCTGGACCACCCCATCTGAGGCAGACGCCTAGTCACACTCAGGCATCTCACTCACTTTGAATTCTGTGTAGCATTTATTAATGGGGATTTGTTTATCGTCTGCCTTTACCCACAAAATGTAAATTAAGTGCCCAGGAATTTTCAGAATACTTTCGCGATTTCTCTAAGATTACTATATTCATTCTCACGCAAGCTGGATAAACCTTTTCACGGCAAGTGCCTCCATCCGATGTCACCCTGGTCCCCATAGACTTTTGCCAGAAGAGCACTAAGGATTGGGTGCCATGCAGGCTGCAGAAGCCTTCGCTGAGAAATGTGAAAATATGCAGCAAATAATGCTGACGTGCTTTAACCGCCTGAAGATCCCATCCCCCTCAACTGGCGCCCACATCCCATTTCCCTCGACCCTGGTTGTTTATTGCTCAGAGATATTCCGTGGTTCCTAAGAACAGGTGAAGCCCTCTCCACAGCCTTCTGGAGAAACAACCAAATCACGTTGGAAGGCGGCTCCAGGGCTCTCTGCGGAAGAGAAATGGGAGAGGCCATCCTGCAGCCACCTTGCCCCGCGTCCCCGAGCAGCGCGGGGGGCGGGGCCAGGGGCAGATGTGCAAACACCAGAGGATGAACCAGCGGTTTGGTGAAGAACTCGCCCCAGGCCCCTCCTGAGAGCTCGCGGTTCCAGCCTTATCTGGAATGACCTGTTCATATGCACAGGGGCTGAAATGGTTTTCACCGTGTTATATAGATCAGCTTGGTTTGGTTCAAGGCTCAGCCTGACCTGGCCCTGCTCACCTCTTCACCTTCAGTTGTCTCCCCTCCTGTCTCCCCCTCTGCGAACCGACTGCAGGTCCCCAAACAGCCACTTTCCCTTCTCTTGAGGACTTTGAACATGCTGTTCCCCATCTTCTTGCCTTCACTAGGCAAACTCTTGCTTGTCCTCCAGGTCTCTGTTGAGATACTACTTCATTCTTTTAATAATATCTATTCAACAAGTATTTACCATGTGCCTCCTATTTACTGGGTTGCCAGGAGCTTTTCTGAGTTCAGGCGAAATAGTAGTGAACAGAACAGACAGAACCCCGCCTTCATGAGCATACATTGTGGTGGAGGATGAGCAAATAAACAAATATGATATGTGACATATGTGTGTGCCATGAGGATTGTAAAGAATAATAGGAGGAGAGCAGGAAAGCTGGGTGGTATTTTGTATGGGCACACAGGTGAGGAGGTGATGTTTGAGCCACACCCTGAGTGACATTAGGGCATAAAGCATGCAGGTGTCTGGGGAAGAGCATCCAGCAGGGCACTGGTGAGAACAGAGGCCCTGAGGGTGGACCTGGAATTCAGGCTGTGACAAGGAGGTGGTTGTGGCTGGAGCACAGAAAGGCAGGCAGGGCCAGCTCGGGTCCCCTTGAAGACTGTGTTTATTCTGACTGACGGAAACCATTGGAGGCTTGAGAATCAGGGAGTAGCATAACTTGAAGCCCCCCTGGCTCCCTGATGTGGGGTCAGAGCCTTCCTGTGTGCCCACAGAGCACCCTACTTTCCCCCTCCTATCCCACAACTCCATATTGAAGTGTTTTTGTGTGCGTTCCCCATCTGTATACCCAAGAACAAGGGCTGTGATTCATTCACTGTCCGGTCTCCGGGGCCTTGCACACAGTCCACATGCAATAAATGTGATCAAAAAAATAAAAATAAAAATAAAAATAAAAAAACAATTCTTGCAGCCAACATCCCTGAAGTCCTACCAGGCGGAGTGTTGGTCTCCAGGTAGTGTTAGGAAGCATGCTTGCACCCTAATACAGGTACCACATAACAGGCATCAGCCTTTCTCTTTTAAAGCAGATTGACCCATCTGAGCAAAAGACTCTGGCCAATCTGCCGTGGATTGTGGAGCCGGGACAGGAAGCCAAGAGGGGAATTAATACCAAGTATGAGACCACGATCTTCTGATCCTCGCCGTCCTCCCATCCTCGCGGTGCCTTGCACGCCGAGCAGTCCGGAGCAGGTTTCCCTTCCCGCCTCCGTTTCCACCCAGCCCAGGAGGAAGACTGCTCTGTTTGTGTGGCCTTGTCACAGGCGAAAGGCCGCTGGCCATTCCTGGGGACGTTCTTTCTGCACCAGAGACAGAAAGTGCAACCAAGACTCTCCAGCCGTAACCCCTGAGAGGCACGAGTTGAGGTTTTCGCTGACTCCCGACTCCCCTCCCTGCCACCACCCAAGGTATTTCTAACGACTCGGCCCCAACACTTGCTTCACTGTAGTTGGGGATAACACCTTAAAAAAAAAAAAAAAAGTACAGGGGATCTCTAATACTGCCTAAATGTATCAAAATCTTGGGTTTTTCACTGTCAGCAGTTTTAAAGGTAGAATCAGAACAGAACAACCCCCATAAAACATCTGTAAAATCATTACATCACTGAGTATCATTTCCTACAACAGGACAGAAACCACCCCCGTGGTTGCCAGGAAATCCTGTTTCCCAATTTCTATATTTGTGGATTTTATATGTAATCAACTATGTCAGACAAAGAAAACCTTTACATCTATGGACTGATTCAAAATTTACGAATGATTTAAAACAGAGGAATTTATTATGCACAGAAAAATGTGTCTTGTTATTAAATATTTTTACTAAAAGAATGTTTCATTAATGCATTGATAAGAAAACTAGGTTAGTTGTGAGGGATGTTTCTGGTTTCCTTTCAAATAACTAAATTTCTACTGCTACCACCAAGAGAACTGACTTGGACGAGGCAAAGTACCAATGACACTCACCAGAGCAGGAGGTCCAGGCAGGCAGACTGGCGTCCAACCCAGAGCACTGACGCAGCCATCAGTCTGCAAAGATTGTTTTTTAAATCTTCACAGCGTTTTAAAGAACACGTTAAAAAAAAATCTAGGGCTCCTGCTGTCAAGATTTCTGTCATGGAAACCTTGTTTGAGAAAGCTGTTAATAAAATCCTGTTGCAAAAATTTCTTTTCTAGAAAAAATAAATACAAAAAAAAAAAGAGAGATTCCAAAGTAATAAAACTCTTTTCTTGAAACAAAAAAAATAAATATTTGCTTACTATTTGATTAAATAAAATTTACTTACATTTCTTTAAGGCATTTTAATTTTTTTAATGTCTCTGTGGAGTATTTGTATGATAAATACCATAATGTATATTTATGTAGAATCAAATTATATAAACAGTACCAATATCATTATAGAAAAAAATAACATTTTAATGTATATTGTTCTAACCAATCATATTGTGAATCATTTTGAAGTTCATTATAGCTATATTGATAAATCGTGGGATTGTCTGAATGTTGTTTTTTTTTATTAACCAATATTATTTTAAACCTGAGATTATCAGTTATATTCATCAGTTGGTGAGTTTGAGAGGATAACTAAATTTTATTTCAAACTGACAAATGTATATGGTTTTAGTTCAGTGTTGAAGAATTTTAATACAATATTAAATTACTTGAACTGAGCAGTTCCTTGTATATATTTTGCCTATTCACTGTTGATATGTATGTAGTAAATGAAGAGTAAAATAACACATATATGGTACCAAAAGGAAATTGTATAGGAGCAAAGTAAAGAGTTGCTTTGCTAAAACAGAAACATATGTGTAAATATGCTTGGGCTTCCAGTTATAAATTTTGTAATTTTTGTCATTATTTATATCCTATAAAAAAAAAAGCACACAAAATAAAAAGGATATTGTACAGCCGCTGGTGCTTGGCATTGTTCTGTGAGCACCTTCCTGCTTCCATATGGGAACAGAACCAAAGAATCGGCCTTCTCATCATTCATAGCTCAAGGGATCTTTTAGTTGGCAAAATTATTGAGAAAATTTGCTCATTTCCATGTTCAACCAGTCTGAGAAAGATACAATGGCTTTTAAAGCTTGAATGTCAGCCAGAAAGCCCCCCATTATCTTTGTTGAAATATTAAAGTGGGCTGTAAGGAGGAACTGCCAGAACAAATTTCTAAAAGAAGAAGGACCACCAAATTGGACCACTTTCACAGGACAACATAGATGGCAGTTTGGGGGGGAAAATCTGCATGTTTGTCTTAGCTCAGGCTCCCATAGACTGGGAGGATTAAATATCAAATTTATGTCTCACAGTTTTGTTGGCTGGTAAGTCTAAGATCAAGGTGCTAGCAAAGTGCGTTTCATTCTAAAGCCTTTTCTCTTGGCTTATCGGCAGCTGTCATCTTGCTGTGTGCTGACATGACCTCTTTGTGTGTGTGTACAAGTGAAGGGTGAGGGAGCAGCCAGCTCTCTGATGTCTCTTCTAATAAGGGCACTAATGCCATCTGAGGGCCCCACCCTCGTGACCCCCATCTAACCCTAATTATCTCTCAAAGGCCCATCTCCAAGTACCATCGCATTAGAGATTTAGAATTTCGAAGGGATACAAACAGTCCATAACAAAATCCATCAATGCTTTCATTTTTCATAAAACACATGTGCCAGCTGTGAGCTGAATGATAACAAGGCCATGTTAGAAACATACTGGGAAGATCAACGATTCACATCCATATCCTGTGACTTTCAGAAGATCTCCCTGCTCCCAGATCCAAGTCTGTTGTTACTCTCCCAGACACACACCAAAGCATACTTGGGGTGCATCCAACCTGACATACAGAGGCCCAAGACTTTGAACCCCAAAGAGCTAAAACCAGGCTGAGATGAGGTGACATTCCCAGAGGCGGAAGTGCAGGTTTCCTGAAGGAAGATTTGGGCTGGTAATGCTTTGGCCCCTTTTTATCTTTGCTAACTACCAGAAGGTCAGCAGTCCTCTTATTTATCTCTGTGGACCAAATGCTTGTGTGTATCAGTAATGGTCCCAGCACAAAGCAGATAGCACACTCCGATTAGGATAATTTAAGAGTTTAGTAAGTAAAATACTTACATAGGTGTTGGCAGTAGGTAGAGAACTAGAGGAGTGGAGTAGTATCCCTGGGCTAGTGATGGCCTGAGTCGAATGGAAAAGGAGAAGGCTGCCTGCAGGGAGCTGCCAGACAGGTTGGAGGACGTGGCCAGGTGCAGGGGCTCTCAGTGAGGAAGCCAGGGTCCAAATACCCTGATCTCACTCTCCGCTTTCCATCCTGCATTGCCTGAACCCACGGAAGCCAGAGGGTAAGGAGCCCACCAGTACAGTCTACGCAGGGCAGCCTCCAGTCACCAATCAGGGCAGGGAAGCAGGAGCAGATCTGAGAGGCAAACAGAAGAGAACCAGCCCACATATTGAAGAAGGGATTTGCAGCTAATTTTCGTGGGTAAATCTGTCAGATTGGTAATTGCAATATCCACGAGGGTGGGGAATCCTTGAATGTTAATATTCCAAAAAGACTTCAATCACTCCATTAATTTTTTTCTTCTTAAATTATATTTTATGATAAATTTGGGCAGATGAACCCTATGAAAATTACGCTTAGTCAGTTCATTAATAAGTCATGGAAGTGATTTTTCTCGAGGCATATCAGATTTTCTGCTGGAATGCTTGGCAATATTGCTGGTACACATAATGGCTGGATATGATGGGGCAGAAAAAAGATTTAGATAAAGAATACAAGGCCCAGTTCTCAAAAATCAATAAAAATTCACACTTGGACCAAGTAACATTGTTTCTAAGCTATTTCTAAAAAGAAATGAAAATTCGATAAGTGGGCTAGCTTCCAGAGTTCTTCCACAGAATTGGAATATTATGACCATGTTCACAAGTCTATATGGAATAAAGCATTTTCTTTAAGACAGTAAGTTTTTTAGTTCTCTTTTTATACAGTTATAAACATGTCCTTAAGATAAAATTGGGTAACCTGCCAACACAGGCCAGCAGAGTCCAGCTACAACAAGTCTCCCTCGTGCTACCCCATACTATATTCCAGTCTCCCCCACAACCAGCCAACACCACACCCATTTACTGCTATCTGTGCAAACATACAAACGGACCCAGGCATCTGCCTGCCCCAGCAACACAGTCCTGCTTCCCACAGAAACCAGTTCCGAGCAGGCAGAGAATTTCCTTAGCCTGTTGCCCAATCACCTTCCGGCACACTGTGAGATTCCCTAAGTACCCAAGAACCAGAACTTATTTTTCCGGATGTAATTAATTAGTCTTAAGACTTTGGTGCTGACTTGGGGAGTGCCAGTTCTACTTAACTGTTTCCTGTCTTCATCTCAAGGCAATGTGCTGAGAACTCACTCTGTGCTCAGTATGGCACCATTTTATCTAGAGTTACTTAGGCAAAGATGATCCTTCCCACCCAAAGATGATCACGCTCTGTGTGTAACTCGGAGAATCATAGCTACAAATTATCGCCAACATCGTTTTTGTTTTTCTCTCCAAAACCCCAGAGCTCTATGTTAGTAAAAGCTGCACAGGCATTTAACTTTCCAAAAGTAGTCAGCGGCCGGTGATGCAAAGATTTACACATACATCAGACTGAAATAGAGAGTCTCCATGTAATGTTTACAGTGGGGTCACCCCAGCTAAAGGTGGCAGCTGAGTTTTTCTCAGGGGTCATTGCTTGGTTCAGGCAGCCAAGGAGCACATGGGTCGCATAATGGACTTCATGAACACAGTGAGGCTAAATGTGCATCTTCCAAGACCTGCCATTTAGGAAACGTCTAAATTAGGTTTCAGTGCACAGTAAGAGCAAGCTAAGAGAGAGCCACTTTTACAGCCAAAGTCAGCTTGCAACATGATAATAAAAGCCGTTCAAAGCAATCCATATTCAGTACTCAATTTAATTGTCCTCTGGATATTTCAGTGACTCAATCAAGCATCCCAACAGCTGCTCCCCAGGGAGCCAGACTCTCTCTCTCTCTCTCTCTCTCTCTCTCTCCACCTCTTGTCAATAAGACACGTGAGGAGGGAAGTCAAGACACCTCCACGTAAGAAGCAACATCAGCTGTTTTCTGACATTTGAGAACCTGCTTTCTCCCTGCTTCTCAAACCTGCATGCTCAGTTTTCTGAGGAAAAAACAAACAAACAAACAAACATGTACTAAGTGTTGAGACAGGAGAGATTCAGTAATTCTATTGTAGAGGCCATTTCTGGGCTCTGGGGGTTGGGGGTAGGGGAAGGGTGCAAACTCAGATGCCCTTGGGGCCACATGAGTAAAGGGAGAGCTGTGATGATCCACAGAACACCTGCCTTACCTCAAAGGGCAGCTGATACTCAGTTCCAGTTGATTGTGACCGAGCAGAAAGGAAGACCTTGGGTCAATAGATTTTCTAAGAAATCAGGATTTTTTTTTTTTTTGCAAAATCACCAGATTTTCAAATGCTGCCAACAAATTCAGTTTTTAAAAAATTAGTGTGGACCAAACAAAACTCATCTGTGGGCCAGGTGTGGTCCATGCGTCACTTGAGACTTTCTGAGATTCCACAGTTTCAGTAGCCTCACAGCTAGATGTCCAGTTACTTATCAGAGGAGGGACAGTGTCTGTGGCTGGGGTGAGGGGATGGAAGAGGCAGGGACGCACAGTAACTGACATTTGTTGAACTAATCTTATACACCAGGTCAGTTTGTGGGAGTATCAGGAACTGAATTCAGAGGCTAAAAGCAAAAGACAGAAATAACTATCTCTTAAACAGGGAGGGGTTGAATTTTTTCTAATGTAACATGAACTTCAGAGATACTACTGGACTGGAATTATACCTCCATAGTTGTCATTAAAATCCCAAGCTCCTTCTACATTTTTACTCTGCCATTCTTAGCATGTAGCATCCAGCTGCAAGATCACCTCATGACCACAAAATGGCTGCTGGAGCATCATCCAGCACATACACATTCCAGGCAGGAAAAAGGAGAGTCAGGACCAAAGGGCTCCTCTTCTCAACTGAGTAAAGGAAACTATTAGGAGCTTCTCTTGAAGCTTCGGCCTACAATGTCTGCTTACATCTCATTGGCCACTCCTAAATAGGGAGTTAAAATTAAGTGTATGGAAAGTACCTAGCACAGGGCCTGGCACATAAAAGACCCATAAAAAATAGTAGCTCTCCTTTCCTTCCTCCCAAAAGGATTTATGTCCCAAAAAGTTACTTGACAGAGTGGCGCAAAGAAATCCAAGGTGAAGGGTTTAGAATCCCTGCTAACTAAAGATAAATCAGAAATGCAAAACACAGATCCCACCAGCTTCTCCAGCTGCTGAAACCCACGCTTTGACCCTCTAGATGGGTGTTCACCTGCCCTGAAACCAAGAAGACTCCACTTCCAATTGCATCTGACACTCAACTTGTAGCCCAGTGGGTGTGGTCTTTCTATAAAGACAATAAAATCAGATTTGGATTCTGGCCCCGGCTTTGTCACTGATTTAACTGCCTGGCATGTAGTTCTGCCTCTCTGTGAAGATAAAGGGCTGGGCAGTGCCTCGAGCGGGATAGTAATGAAGATCTGAATGGATGAATTGAATGTTCGCTCCAGCTCCTCAGAACAGCCACCTTGTTCCTATGCAGGCATCTTCATGTCCTCACTCACCTGCCGCATGTTTTACGATTTGATCAGTTGCTCAAACCACCAGGCACAAATGCTCAGGCCTGGAACGCTCCCTCTAGTTACTTACTCTAGCCCTGGGTGATGGGAAATCACAGAGGCAGATTTTCCTCTTCACTTCTGTGTGATAAGCAGTATTCCCAGTTCTGAGGGCCTGACCTCATAAACGAATTTATGATGAACACCAACAACTCATTTTCCTGAATCATAATTGAAATGAAAATTTCCCAACTTTTGGTCTCCTCACAACATCGTCTGATTCAGAAGTCGCTGTTGATCCCGAATGACTTCAAAGGCTGGTCTCTGATG